CTTCAATCTCCCCCCACGTGATCATCGTATCTTGGGGGCACGATCAGGATCCTGTGCTGCATACCTGAATCGATGGAAATCAAATGTCTCACCATCTCTCATCCTTCTCGTGTCCCTAGGGGCCACGGGTCAAACGTCAATCATTGTCGGTGTCCTAAGTGTGCCACCTAATCCTCCGTGGTCATATTGGTGCACTAGCATTCGATCGTGCTCTTGGATGCGAAACAATTAACCGGCGCGAGCTCCCGACCCTTGTTCATCCGATGCTACGTATTTCACGTGCTCGACACGTACGATGCTTGCGCTTCATGTCAGGCTTTCTCAACCACTCGATTGATGCGTCAAGGCCCACGTGGTGCCAATGTCTCGAAAGAATGCTACCTGGTTGATCCTGCTAGTAGTCATATGCTTGTCTCAAAGATTAAGCCATGCATGTGTAAGTATGAACTAATTTAGATTGTGAAACTACGAATGGCTCATTAAATCAGTTATAGTTTGTTTGATGGTATCTACTACTCGGATAACCGTAGTAATTCTAGAGCTAATACGTGTAACAAACCCTGACTTCTAGAAGGGATGCATTTATTAGATAAAAGGTCGATGCGGGCTATGTCCATTGCTTTGATGATTCATGATAACTCGACGGATTGCACGGCCTTTGTGTCGATGACACATCATTCAAATTTGTGCCCTATCAACTTTCGATGGTAGGATAGTGGCCTACTATGGTGGTGACGGGTGACAAAGAATTAGGGTTCAATTCCAGAGAGGGAGCTTGAGAAACGGCTACCACATCCAAGGAAGGCAGCAGGCACGCAAATTACCCAATCCTGACACAGGAAGGTAGTGACAATAAATAAGAATATCGGGCTCTATGAGTCTAGTAATTGGAATGAGTACAATCTAAATCCCTTAACGAGAATCCATTGAAGGGCAAGTCTGGTGGCCAGTAACCGCGGTAATTTCAGCTCCTATAGCGTATATTTAAGTTGTTGCAGTTAAAAAGCTCGTAGTTAGAACTAGGGTTGGGTCATTCGATCCACCTCATGATGAACACTGGTCTACTCATCCCTACTGCCTGTGATGCACTCCTGAACTTAATTGCCTGGGTCATTCCTGTAGCGCTGTTACTTTGAAGAAATTAGAGTGCTCAAAGCAGGCCTACGCTTCTATACATTAGTATGGGATAACATCATAGGATTTCGATCTTATTGTGTTGGCCTTCGTGATTGAAGTAATGATTAACAGAGACAGTCGGGGGCATTCATATTTCATAGTTAGAGGTGAAATTCTTGGATTTATGAAAAACGAACAACTGAGAAAGCATTTGCCAAGGATGTTTTCATTAATCAAGAACAAAAGTTGAGGGTTTGAAGACGATAAGATACCGTCCTAGTCTCAACCATAAATGATGCCAACCAGGATGGCGGATGTTACTTTTAGGACTTCGTCGGCACCTTATGAGAAATCAAAGTCTTTGGGTTTCGGGGGGAGTATGGTTGCAAGGCTGAAACTTAAAGGAATTGATGGAAGGGCACCACTAGGAGTGGAGCCTGTGGCTTAATTTGACTCAACACGGGGAAACTTACGAAGTCCAGACATAGTAAGGATTGATAGCCTGAGAGCTCTTTCTTGATTCTATGGGTCATGGTGCATGGCCATTCTTAGTTGGTGGAGCGATTTGTCTGGTTAATTCCGTTAACGAACGAGACCTCAGCCTGCTAACTAGCTACACGAAGGTGATCCTTCGTGGCTAGCTTCTTAGAGGGACTATGGCTGCTTAGGCCAAGGAAGTTTAAGGCAATAACAGGTCTATGATGCCCTTAGATGTTTTGGGTCGCACGCGCGCTACACTGATGTATTCAACGAGTCTATAGCCTTGGCCGACAGGCCCGGGTAATCTTTGAAATTTCATCGTGATGGGGATAGATCATTGTAATTGTTGGTCTTCAACGAGGAATTCCTAGTAAGCGCGAGTCATCAGCTCACGTTGACTACGTCCTTGCCCTTTGTACACACCACCTGTCGCTCCTACCGATTGAATGGTCCAGTGAAGTGTTCGGATCACGATGACGTGGATGATTCACTGCCCATGACGTCGTGAGAAGTCCACTGAACCTTATCATTTAGAGGAAGGAGAAGTCGTAACAAGGTTTTCATAGGTGAACCTACAGAAGGATCATTGTTGAAACCCCACTCGACGGATGACCTGCGGACGCGTTAACGAAACACCGAGGGGGCCTAGGGTGCCCCCACGCCTCGAGCCCCTTTCGGCCTCGGGTGAGCACTACGGTCGATTCATCCCCCCTACAGGGCGGGCGAAACAATCGGTGTTGGCTCACCCAATGTCGAACAATGAACCCCCGATGTGAATCGTGCCAAAGAACCAAAATGAAAGCGCGAATCACACCAAGGAACCAAAATGAAAATGGAGCGTGTGCATCGTCACCATCCCGTTCGCGATGCGTGCGCGGGCGACGTCGTGACTCCTTTTGTCATG